GGTGGGGGCCAGGGCGCCCTCTGAGCCCTTCGGGCTCGCTCTTATCTCTGCGGTGGCACAGCCAGTGCTAATAGCTGCTGTGGGCACCCTATCTCACAGCAATACAGGCAATTTGTAAGCTATCAGGGAGGAAAGTGCTCCTATCTCAGCTGGCACAGAGAGCACTCTTTGTGCTTCAGAAATAGTCCCCTCCACCTAGAAGCTTTTAACGGGCTTACCTGAGCACAGTGCACGTTCAGATCCCTGCCAGACCCAGCCCCAGCAGCAAGACTTGGGTTGATTCTGGCAAGCAGCTCTCCAGCATTAACAAGATGAGACAGCTGATGGGCCAAATCCCAACTGGTTTAGTAAGTTAACGGCTTTAGTAAGCTGAACAGTTATCAAGGTCCCAGGGATACCTGTTGTAGTTCAGAGAGAGCTGCAATGCTAAAAGGTGGATTTGCTCTTGCTGTTCAAGCTGTGCAAGCACAGTTCAGGGTCCCTTCGTACTCCATTTGAGCAGGGAGGAACTTCTCCATCCCATCAAGGCTGTCACTAGTTGTAAGAGCAGCACTGACCCCTGCGTTTCGTTCTGCACTTAGTGCAGCTCCCAGGGGGTTGTTCTCCCCTGTCTGCAGAAGCCCCAGGCAAGGCTGGTAGCTTTTGCTGGCTTTGGCTCTCGCAGGAGCTCGGGTTGTCACAGAATCCCTCAAGCTGGAAGGGACCCCAGGGATCGCTGGGTCCAACTCCCTGCTCCTGGCAGAACTACCTGAAGCCAAACCACACGACCAAGAGCGAAAACTTCTTGAACCCTGACGGACTTGGTGCCATGACCCTCAAAAGCCTGGTACAGCCACTAGGGCAAAACCACCTTAAGAATTACTGTAGGAAGGGAAAATGTGTGCAGATGCTGTGCCCACGTGTTTAAATTTGGGTGCTCTGCACTGCAGAAGACAGAGGCAGGAGAAGGATCAGCAGCGGGAAGTGCTGGCTTTCAGGAGCAGCAGAACCATTTCCTCTCTCAGTGATCCCTGGTTATTATCCCATTTTTCCGTCCTGACTACTCTTGATTCATCCCAGGTAGAATATAATAATGATGAAACTTCAAGAAGAGGCAGCAAGAGCCCCTACAGAGAGGTTTATGTTGGGTTTTAAAAAGAGCAGCAAGAGGCATCAGTGCATCTGCAAAGCCCCTCGGCCCCAACACATCTCCACAGGGATTCCTCCCCCTCCGGGATGCACAGCCAAGGAGAGGTCAGCCCGACAGCCAGCCCCACCACCCTCATAACCCCAACTCACATCCTCCACCCCGGTTCTTCACTTTGTAGTAGCAGTAGAGAGACAGCATCACCAGGTCTGCGAGCACATAGTAAATAGCTGTGTAAACCTACGGAGAGAAGGACGGGTTGGTTCTACCTGCAGAAAGGCTTCCAGCTGATGGCTGGGATGGGCCAGGATCCCAGGGGGAGAAGGAAGTATCCCCAGGGAGCATCCTGGGGCTGTTTGGGTCTCTGGTGTTGGATGAAGCAGCACCCACCCCTCCTCCCTGCAACCAACCCAACCCCAGCCATTTGGTTGGTACCTGCAGGGGCAACTGATGAGCCAGGAAGGAACCGATGAGGTTTAGGAGGTCTCCGCCCAGCCATCCCAGCAAGAAGTATATGGAGAGAGCCCGGTCCATGATGCCTGTTTTGCAGGCTTGGTAAAACTGCCTGCAGAGACACAAGCCCCTCTGTGGTTCAGGGATGATTCCACCTGGGAATAATCCCTGTTGCTCCCACCTGCATCATTTTGCAATTGCAAAGCCCTCGGCGCCGGGAGCGGGAAGCAGAGATTTCCTCTGGCTAAGCCGTGCCCTGCGAGAGGCCCTGTGACCCGCTGGGTGCTCGCAGCCATACACGGGGCTCAAGCCCTTGAGATCCATCCCTCCCGCAGGGGGAGGAAGCAGCGAGGAGAAGCACCGGTTGCACAAAGCGCCTGTCTGGTTACGAAATAACCTGATGAGACACCGAGACCCCCCCGCAGCGGTTGTCCCAGCGCTTCCAAGGAGCCCAGGGCGCCGGGAGGCGTTCCTTCCACTCGCAGGACCTGCAAGGACTGCATCGCACTTGGCTTACAGGGGTTATTACAGCTGCCAAGCATGGTCATAGCACTGGAACAACAAACAAGGCTGCGCCGCCGGCTCCCTCGGCACCCCTCGAATCCAGCCTTTCCAAGCCCTGGTTGCTTCTGCTGGGGAGAGTTTGGGCAGCTCGAGCTTGGTTTAAGAGGAGCCTTGTCCCTTGGGAAGGGCTCGGCCGCGTTCCGGAGCGATGCTTACGGGAAGGAGGCAGCTGCAAAGCAGAGGATGGACACCAGCCCCAGGAGGACGCTGGCGATGTCGCGGCTGTCCTGGGCGCACTCGCTGAACACATCCATCACCCAGCGGGAGCCGTTGGGGCAGTCGGAAAGATTCCCGAGCTGGGGACGCCTCCAGCGCCGCGGATCCATGGCCTCCGGCGCCCGGGTGGTGGTAGGTGGGATAATGCTGTGGAGAACGTGCGAAAATGAGCAAAACATGGGGAAAAACATAGGAAGAAGCTAAATAACGTGGGGGGAAAACAGAGATCTCTCGGGAAGAGACTCACAGCTCCTCCAGAAGCCTTCCGAAAACCTCCTCACTGGCTGTCGCTTTGGAGGCA